TCCTTCCCGTTCTTAGCGATTGCAATTAAAGAACTTACATTTAAAAGAAGTGTTCAGCAATAGCACCCCCCCTACAAAGGAAGGACCGGCAATAGTTAAGGTTGCAAAATCAAAGCATGAAGGAAACATAGCATGCAACGAAGCTAAATGCGTTGCTTTCATGCTATATGGGAATCTGTATAGGTGAAAAGCAAGCCTGCAAGACATGACAGGAAAACAAATCGCAAATGCTGCTGAAAAGAATGAACATCATGTCCGATGTCCAAACATCTGCAGAAATGAAATGATTTTTGATCAACGACTGGGAGCTTTGATTATTCATTCGTCGTCGAAACAAGAGTACACAGTACGCGCTGCTCCCCAAATCCTATGTTCATTAAACCTGTCCACTTTATGGTTGTTTTTGATACATATCTATATATGTATATAATAATATATATATATCAAAACCGCTCACGTTTTGATTTTTTGACATGTTTTGATTCTGTCTGTCTTGAAATAATTGTGACTGTAGGAGCTGAAATTTGTTTTGATGATTTTGATTGATGTGTTTCACAAAAATGAAAACTGAGAAAACAAAACTAACACTAAGGTTCAATGAGGCCATCAGCAAGTTAAAAGAAGCTGGCCTATGTCATACCCCAACAACGTTTGCAAAGACGTCCACAGATTCTCCCCACACATCCCTTTTACCATGAGTTTACTCTTGCTGAGGCAACCTCACTTGACCATTGATCTCATATGCCTTGCCAAGCGTTCTTCTGACCCATCGACCCTGCATGTGGCCCACCTTCGCCACCCAAAAGGGTGCCAGGTTCGAATTTTCGAACTCACACGGGTCCAGACCTCAGCGAGCAGGAAAAAGAAACGCTCCTCCGGGTGCCAAGGAAACGTGGGAAACTCTGAAAGAGATGGGGGTGGTGGTGGGTCAAGTACTCGTCCGAATGTCAAAGTAAACCAACATGGTGTTGATGTCCATCGATTCAGTCTTAGTCCTGTTGGTTTTGACCCACATCCGTGCCAGGTGCCAGGTGATTCTGAATCTGGAATTCTTCCCACAGTTCAACGCGCGCATCCCATTTGCAAACTGAGCCAAGGACGACATTCGAATCCGCCACACCTGCACGTCGAGGGATTGAATCGCTCACAGATTTTAAGGACACGCATGCAAAGTGCATCAGAGTTCTGTGTCCACAGCAATTCGCTCTCTCTGAGGACTTCTAGGTAAGAGCAGAGCCCTTTGAGACTCAAACTAAACTTTAAACTCTTGGAAAAAGGTCGAGCGGCATAAGACCTTTTTGGACAAAGAACAGCGAAGTGGCTCTGAGTACATGCCCGGCTGCTCGGGAGGGGTTCGCATATGTATTTCTGATGCGAGGTGTTCATACGAAATCAGGCAGTCAGCTTGCGGGGAAAAAAGCTGAATGCCAGCACTTGCAAAAAATTGATTAATTAGTGCTGTTGCCCGAAAAAGCTCAACAGAGGCAAAGCAAGTAAGACAAGATAAGACAGAGTCGTCAGCCTGTCGTCAGCCTGCTACAGTTTTCCTGCTACAGTTTTCCACTGACTGACTGACTTGACTCACTGACCTGACTCCATCACACACAAATCTCTTCCTCCTCCACCTCTGATACTTGAGCTTGACGACGGGCAAAGCTGTAGCTCTTTCTCAGGTAGCTCTGCATGTTGGCATCGTCGTCAAAGGCCAAAGCCACCATCAGGCCGCTCTTGCGGCGATCTTTGGGCTTCTCCACATCATGGCTTGAAGACTGGTGAGTGCCGAAAATGCGGCTCATAAAGCTTGCGCTGCTGGACACACTCGATTCTGTGCCACGGCTGGACACACTCAATCGTGTGCTCCCAGGGCTGGACATCCCAGGGCTGGACATACTCAATCGTGTGCTCCCACGGTGTGCGGAGCCGTCAGCATCTTCGAAAGGCTTTGAAGCATACGTGCTTTTTGAACCGAAGCGCTTGCTTGTGGGTGCTGACACTGCCATGACTTGCTGCTTGACCCTTCCACCCTCGCTCAAGAGGTATTGAGGGGGAAAGAAGACTCGGACATCTTGGCGGCAGGCCGCCAACAGAAGCAAAGCTGTAGGGGCGTAGTTGCCACTCTTGCAAAGAGCCGATGCTAAGTCCTCTTCTGAGAATCCTTGGCAAATGTCGCAGTAGGTCCTTTGGCGGCCCATAAACTTTTCCAGCAGCTGACCATCCGGCACTGCTGCTTCTTCCACTCCCTCGAGTGCTTTCTCCACCCGCTCCTGAAAAGGTTTCTTCAGCTCTCCCCGTGCCTTGCGAACAAGGCGGTGAATGAGGACAGTGGTCTTCAAGAGCTGGGGAAAGCGGAATGGAGAAGCCTTCGCCTGCCCAGACTCATTGTATGTGCTGAGCATGGCATCCATGAGTTTCTTGTACTTCGGGACGTAACCTGGCTTCTTCTCTTTGGCATTCTCCTTGAAGAGGCAAAAGGCCGTGAGGATATCGCAGTTGCAAAGCTCCAAGTAGTAGCCATCAGGGTCACGCACAAAATACTGTGTGATCTTCCCTTCACTGTTCTCAAAAGCTTCCACCAAGTTCTCTCTGGCCTTCTGAGGATCAGGCACTGAAATGTTTTGCCGAAACGGCACCTCGTACTCCAACAACTTCTCCAAGACCTTGTGTGGCTCATTGGTGTCCAGGGCAATGTGAGAAACGATCAAATCACGGCCAGATGGAGCATTGGGAACTCCTTTGATCAAGTGCAGTTCCAAATTGCCCATGGTGAGCCATGCACCATGTCGATCAAAGTTGGGCCGCTGGATTTGCTGGAAGCCGATGATCTCTGTGTAGAAGGCCAAGGAACGCCCCACGTCCGAGACAATGATGGCAATGTGGTTCACACTCCGAATGAGATCCCCCATGCCACGCCGCGGGATCTCAGGATTCCAATGAAGGTGAGCTTCTGGTGACTGGGGTGATTCGAGAGATGGCATTTCCTTCCGAAAGAGGACCAACAACATCACGAGACCCACCAAAGCATTGCAGGTGATGAGAACAGCTGCTGCGGCCACAGGGAAAGCTTCCAAGAGCCCAACCCCAGCCCCAGTCAAAGCGCAGCACACCAAGAATGCCACAAAGATACGCAGGCGCAAGGCCATGATGCGATGCACCGCCACCGACCGAGTCTACCTGGACAGAGAACTGAAGCGAACAAATTGGATGACCCGGTTTGAGCCCGAGGTTCAGAGCAAGTGAAAAGAAACTGGACATGTTGCCTTTCTTCATGAGATACCATGAGTTTACTTATGTTCAGCCTCACTTGTCCATTGATCTCAAACGGTTTGCCTCCCATGGCCTCCGATGGGGACAGGTTCTTGGCAAAGTCCTGCCCAGGACTTAAACATCTTCAAAAGGGCTCTCGGAACACATGTCGCAAAACCAGATGCTTATGACTGCTTATGTATGTTTGTCATGGCTAGTCTTACAATATCATCATATCTCCATCTTCACTAATCGTGATCTTTCAATTTTAGATGAATTCGATTCTTTTATGCGTTTTGCCGTGGCGTCACGGTGATCATGCTGGGGAGTCCTTGGTGTTCAGCCAACCAGATCGAACTTGTCCTGTAGACCCTTAAGGCGCAGCGTCTGCTTCTTGGTCTCCTGTACCAGGGCAGGTGCCCATCACTGCATGACTAGTTGGGAAGCCAGTGCTGGATGACTCACAATGGGGATATCAACCAGCTATCATGGGGATATCTACATGCACCAACAGCTTTGAAACAATTTGAAAATTACCAGTTTTGAAATATAACTATGACTATAACTGAAATATAATATGTTGACACCAACTCAGATCGTTGTGATATGTTGCAAAGAAACAGGATTTGATGATTGGGCGGACTGGAATTCACAGTTGCATATCGAATGGCTCTCCAGAACATGCCAAACACCCCACCTCGTCGATCACGAATTTGCCTATCGCGGGAAATGAGAAGCCAAAACGAAGAACGCAAAATATCTGTTCAAAACAATTGCGTCATGCAGGTTTTGCAGACCCACCCACCCACCAGGAACAGTAACGCAAAGCTCCTTTTTGCATGGTGGTGGATGCTGCCAAACAGCAGCCTGTTTTGTCGATTTTGCAGCCAGCCTGTGCCCAGCTGTTGTTTTGTCAACTTCAGCTTTATGTGCTGGCTGCATGATCTTTTAATGACACCAGTTGTGCCAAGCTTACACCTCTATGGTACTTCCAACCTCAGCGATTTCAGCCAGAGGTGGGAGGGAGGGGCTGAAATCCCACAGCGATGGTCATTTGGGCCCATCACTGCAGTGTCCCACCCTCCTCCCATTCAAACTGCATTCCTATTGTTCTGCATTTCATGCTGAAATGCTACAACAATTGCGTCATGCAGGTTTTGCAGACCCACCCACCCACCAGGAACAGCAACGCAAAGCTCCTTTTTGCATGGTGGTGGATGCTGCCAAACAGCAGCCTGTTTTGTCGATTTTGCAGCCAGCCTGTGCCCAGCTGTTGTTTTGTCAACTTCAGCTTTATGTGCTGGCTGCATCATCTTTTAATGACACCAGTTGTGCCAAGCTTACACCTCCAGTGACTTTGTCGCACGACTGGAAAGCTGCCTCGCATTTTTTGCAACGGTTTGTCCCTGACATATACTTGGGTGTGATCATGACTTTCACATTTCTTTCGGCAAAATGCCAACCACACCAGGTATCCCAAGCGGCCAGGCTTACGTTCCAGGATGCCTTGCGGATGCGGTGAGACACATGTCCGTTTCTGCCAGTGGAAACTGCCCAGCATTGTTCGGGGCCAGGAGGTTTGACGCAGATTGTCCTCGGCTTTGGGTGTGTTGGGCACAGGCACCAATTTTTCCTTGTCCCCTTCGGTCAGCTGTGGTGGGGCAGGTGTGGCCGGTGATGCCCAGGAGCCCTCCAAGGCCCCCACCTTGTGCGCACCTGCGTTTAAAGGAATCTCCTGGAGCGCCTCCTCTATATATCTAAACACACCAGAGAATTGGTAAACCTCTGCGGGCGTACCACATCGCTCCACTGCGACGGCCCGAGTGGCCAGTGATTTCTGGGTCGATGTTCTCCATCCACGCTTTGATCATTTTGACCTTGGGTACCAGCTTTCCCTTCTTGTCCGGGAACAGTGGCGCGTTCTCATCGTCGCTGTCATGGTCTGCCAAAACTCTGAGTGCGAGATTCCACGGACACAGCCTCAAGCACGTGGGGAGTCCACAGCAAACCAACGTCCTTTTCACTCCTAGGGCTCTCTGGTCCGTTTTGGATTTCCTGATCAACAGGGTGACCGTTTTCTTGCTGAACTCCACGTGGGCATCCCCCAATCTCATTGCGGCCAACTCTATCGATCTCAACATCCACACCACTGCCCAGGCGTAGGACCAGGCCACTCTTCTCGGTCTGTTTCCGTCACCAGATTGGGATTCCCACACCTCCTGGCTGATGTTGGCTGGGTCAAACTCCTTCGCTCGGTTCTCGGGGCCCACATCACGTTTGAGCGCCCGTTTCACCATGGTCATCTGCCTCTCCATCACATCTGACCAGGAGATGCCCGCTTCCAACTGGAGGAGCTTTACCTCGCTCAGGTACTGATCAGCGCTCTTATGTTGGATTCTCCTTAACACTGCTGCTACCGTCACCAGTTCCTCCACTGATAACCCGTTGCCCTGGATTTTTATCTCGCAGTTTTGCATGATTTCCATGATCTTTCTCCGTTTTGATTCTTTGGTTGCCATGGTTGATGCGGCGTAGAGCCTCTCTTTCAGTCTTCTTTTTGCACCCTCGATCCATCTGGTGTTCACAGCCAGTCGAACGATATCTTTCAGGGGCTGCTTCGTGTCGGTGGACTGTGAAGTGGTGTCTTTGCTCCACTTCCCATCGCTTCCAACACGATTCTTCCTCTTTCTGCGACGCTGACACGTCCTCTGACTCCTACTGTGGTGTCTCGAGGAACTTGACCTCGCGGTTGCTTGTTTGATGGCTTCTTTTGCTTTGAACTCCTGCTGGATCGACTCGACAATGATTGACTCTGCCGGCTGCTTGTCATTGATGGGCTGGCTCTTGACCTCACTCTTGAGGGGGAAGGGCTCGAAAACCTCATGGCTTCGGTCCCCTCGTGGTCCCCAGAGCCCATTTCCATCATTTGCACTCGTTAGCCAAATTCCTGCTTCATCTGGCGCAGCCGCGAACAACATTGCCTCCAGCACTGAATGCCCGCCAGGAACGCTAAGACCAGAGACCATGCCCATACTTGCAGGATCCATCGCAACGCATCTGCCCCGGTGTCGAAGGGCTCGACTACGGCTTGACCCTGCGTTTGAACCTCCATGGTTCTGGGCATGTGACATTTCTTTGGTCCTTCCCACCGGGCTACGGTAAAAGTCAAAACCAAACAGTGCAAAGTAAAACCTCTCCCCCACAAGTTTGGGCAGGTCGCCATCCCAAACCAAAAGAAAAGGAGGGGAAAGAGAAAAGGACACACACCTAAACCGGGACAACCTGAGCACCTTACGAGAACAATGACAACAAAGCGTCCGACACTTTTACCGGACAGCAAGGTGCTCGAAGATGTTGTCCTGAGGGGTGAACTTTTCATCACCTCCGGCTGTGTCGCCTGGTGCGTGCAGCCAGAACTTTGTGGCCGAGCAGGGGGCTGTCCTCCGAAGATGGACTCCCTCAAGTCCTTTTGGACGAGGTTTGTCTCCCCTCTCCGTGATCCGGGACAGCCAGTCCGCCTCCACATTCCAGGAGCCCCTCAGGTGGTGAAGGACCAGCCTTTGAACTTCGTACTTCTCAAGCCGCAGGGCGATCTCCGCAGCTATGAAGTTCAATGACTTGTGTGCTGAGGCCAGCTTCTTCATCATCGCCAAAGCCACTGAAGAATCTGCTCGGATGATGATGGCCCTCATCTTGAGTTTGTCGGCCCAAAACTCCAATGCCCTCAGAATGGCATACGCTTCGACCACGGCCTGGGACGATGACTCACCCCATTCCACCTCGAGCAGCTGTGCCTCCTGCTGGTTGATGAGCGCTTCCACTGCGGCCACAGGTTGCAGGGTCCTCGTTGCCCCATCCTGGCCCTTCACCAGTATAGCGCCCCAACCCTTCGGAGAGGCATCGGTGATGATGCCCATGGAAATCGGTGGTCGTCTCATGTTCTCCACACGGATGAGGTGCTCCACCGGATTCTCGAACAGTTTCAACAACCACAAGTGCACTCCACCCAATCTTTTGATTGGAAATAGGCCCCTTTTGCTCCTGGAGTCTTGTCTCGTTTGGGCTCTTCGATCTTCGGTGCCGTCTTCTTGGTCCTTCTCGACCTCCCTCAAAGTTGCATAGAGCACGTTCACCGTCCAACGCAGGCGGGGTAGCACTCCCCCCACCCATGACAGTCTTCCCGTCGTTGATCTGAGCTCCTTCAGGGAGCCCATGCCACCTGTTGTCCAGGATCTCAACGTGACGACCACCTGTTCGATCATATGCTTTGATATGCCCAAGATCACAACCTCCGGCTCTTCCATCTCCACTACTGGAACTTCGATGGTGCAGCCTATCCAAGTGACCCTTCTGCCTCTTTCTCCCTTTTTCAAACTGATCTGAACTCCGAACGCCGCCGCAGTGTACAGCAGCATTGCCAGTTGAGCTTCACGGGTGACTCTATCTCCCAACGCGGCTACCAGTATGTCGTCCACGTACACCTGCAACTGCGTAATCTCGGGGCACACCAAAGACTGTAACAGTCTGCCCAACGCTGATGACAATCTGCCCATGAGGAGCGGTGCCGCGCGATATCCAAACAACATTGCACACCAAATCCAAGGCATCTCGGTCGTGCTCGTCCGGTGTGACGCAATGTCGCAACTCATTTTTCAGCACTCCAAAATGGCAGAACGCGTCACTGAGGTCAATGAGGCAGAACTCAAAATCATCTGTGTTCGTGTCCCTGCGTTTGGCCTTCGCCCCACCTCGCCTCCTCCAAATGTCTTGGAGCATTGTCACCACATCTGAAAGTCGAGGTAGGACGATCCTTTCGTCGACCTTCGACCTGGAGTTACCAAAACTCCTTCTCATATCCAAAATGATTCTTCTCTTGACCGACCCGTCCTCCTTCTCCTTCAGAATGAGGGCCATTTTGGATACAGTGCCAGTGGTGCCGAGGGTCTGTTTCACCCAGTCCCAGCTCACCCTCTTTGCGAAACCATTGTTGACGTAGCGGTCAATCTCGATCGTTGCCTCCGTGGTTTGGTCCCTCACTGATTGGTAGTTGCGCTGGAACTTGAGGGCCTCAAACTCCCCAGCCGGATCTGTGTTCACATCCTCCTGATCCAGTGCAGGGGGAAACACTCCGCTCGGAGGTATCGGCACTTCCATCCCAAGGGGAACGCCGCGTCTGATGAAGTCTGGCAGGCATAGATCAGGGTCTCCTGCCTCGGCTCCCCATGCTTGCCACAACTCTGCGTCCAAAGGTGATGTGAACTCCCAATTCTCCTTGACCACAACCGGTTTCTCGACGATCTCTGCCAGGTGGTCCTTGAGCGTGTCGCGCCATAGCTGTACCAACTCCTGGTCAAAGGCGTTGTCGGGCTTGCCATAGTTTGCAGCGACCCGGACCGATGTTGGGTGGGACTCCATGAATTCCTCCCACAAGCAAGCGATCTTTCTCCCGACGTCCCCCAGCTGTGTGAGTCGTCGGACGCTTCTGGCAGGGTTTCTCATCCCTCCCACGGCCAACATGTTGTGGTTCTCCTTGATCTTCTTCAATGGGGTTCCTTTTGAACCCGAAGGCAAGTCATCGCTCTCGATGTTGTCGATCTTGAAGGCCATCGATGCAGCTCGTTTTGATGCAGGGGTTCGTTCTGTCTCACCTCTGCTCTTTTTGTCCTCGTTTTCCAACCAGGCCTTCTGAAGATCGCTGACCTCCTGCGACTTTGTCTCCAACTTGAATCTCCACCATTCAAGGTTGAGGGTCTTCTTCCAAACTCCCACAACTTCGACAGCGACTGCTTCTGCCAACGCCGCCGGGTACTGTGCCGCACTTGCCGTAAGCTGTTTGCCCACCAGTGCAACATGTGCAACCCAATTTGGACACTTGCACACCTTGGAGAGTTTCTAATATTCTCCAAACGACCGGCCCATACTCCCGGCTTTTTGAACCGTGCCTTGTCCTTGGTCATGTAGGCGCACGTGTTGTAGTGCACCTTGGACCCACCAGTGATTTCCAACTTCTGTTGGAGTTCAGGTAGATCCCACGCACTCCCTTACTCTTCGCTTCCAGGGGGGTTTTCTAAAGTCGCAAGAAGTGGAACTTTACGTGCTTCGCAAGCCTTCACCTGCTTTTCATGGACCTCCGCAGACTGAACCGCCATTCTGGTCCCACGATCTGCCTCGGATTGTTGTCTCTCATCATTGGTCGGCAGCCCATATATGTGAGCCTTGTCCCTCACCGGACCAGGTTGCCCAGCTACTTGATGGTGTCGTGCCATACTGAAGCTATCGCAAGGAAAACCTGAATGGATGTAGTCCCACTCCCCTCTGCCGACGTCCTGCATCATCGTCTGATGACTGGCCGGCCTAGACAAGTCCAGAGTGGGGTCCAACTTGTTGTCCAGGCTCAAAACCACGACCTCGAGCCTGTTCCGAGCTGCTTCAACCTTGATGGCTTCACCAAGAGGATCGTTGGGGCCCGAGTACAAGTGGAGGAACTTGAAGGGTCTATTCCGTCGGAACTCCTCAAAGGTCTTCGAATTTTTCAGAGCGCTATGCACCCTCATAGGTCGCATCATGCCCTCTTGGGACGTTGCCTCCCTTTCCACAGGACCGGCATGGCTCGACTCCCCTACACCTGTTCCCTCGGCGGGGGGGGCGACTCATCGCTGCCACCCCCAAAGTCCACCGAAGGAGGGCTGGGATCATCCGGCCCTGCTGGTTCAGCCATGACTGCACGGTCCCATGAAGTTCAGTTTCAAACAAATTGGTTTTGATGTTTAGATTTGAGAAACCCTCATGTCAAACGTTTTGAACATGTCAGCAACTCAAATTAAAACCAAACAAAACCCTAAAAGCAAACGACTCAGCAAAAGGTAAAACAAAACTCATCACAAGCAAACGACAACCACGACACAAGACACACCTCGGAAAACCCCTCCTGTCCTTTTCATCCAAGGTTTCAACAGCGTCGAAGTTAAGGTCGGTGCGTCCTTCATGCTTTGGGACAGTCGGCGTCTTTGTGTGCTGGTGAAAGGCACTTCCTGCACTTATGGGCTCTTTTCACAGGGCCCTTGCACTCTGAACCAGGTGGAAGGTCACCGCAAACTCCCGATCCTGATGCCCAAGAAAAACATGGGGGTGTTCCAGCTTGGTCCTTGGACTTGGACTTCCCTTTGCCACCTGAAGCTTTACCTCCAGATCCACTGCTTTGACCTTGGTGTTGTGGACCCCCTTGACGAAGCTTTCGAAGTTCTTCCATGTCAGATTGGAACCTTCTCTTCCTTGCTTGCTTTCTATCTCTATTCGCTTGACGTTTCCTGGAATCAGGTGAGTCATCCTCAAGTGGAACTGTATCTTGAAGTCCCGGCACGTGTGCTTTCACCGCCGCTTCAGTCGCCACAACCGGTTGACCTTTGGCCCCTGCAGCAACCCATGCCGATGCCGGGATGTGGACCTTTTCCGCCCAGTATGCATCATCTTTTGCCAACTGTATGAACAAACAGCTCCAAGGGGATCTCTGGTCCCAATCTCTAGGAACTTGACGACCCAAGCCCGCCTCGACCGTGAAGTAGCGTCGCAACTTTGCCATTCTCTCTGCCCTCGCTGAGTCTTCCGCACTGTAAATCAAACCCCAAGCTGAGGGCCATTGCGTTACCAACCTCTCTATGTGCTTGCCGTAGGTCTCGAGGGACGCTAAGGAGGCCACGTTCAGCATGATCAACGCGGTCTTTAACACCCGCCAAGCTGCAAGCCAACCTTGATAGGTTGGAGGCCGGGCAAATCCCTTTGGAGGTAGGTGCCATCGCCCAGTGGTGTGTAGATGCGACACTTCTGGACCTTTGTCAACTTTCTTTCATACGGTCCAAACACCGCGAAATCAACGTAAGGTGGAGCGTCATCTCGAAACACTCTCTTTGAGAGAGCAGCCAGTTGATTGGGACTAGGTTCTTCGGCTTCTTCCGGCATTGCCCCCATCACCGCATGGTAATTTTGGAGCCAAGCATTGATTTCCGATGATCCTGGAGGAAGGAGTTCGGATTCGTCGCTTTGGTCGATCAGTGTCGACATTTTGAGGACCTTCTCCTTGACACCCGAGGAAGGGGGACTTTGCCTCGCTGTCGTACTTGCATTTGTCTCCTGCCATGGGTCAATGTCCTGGAATTCTGTCTCGTCCATGCCACTACCATGAGCTATTACCCGACGTGCCAAGCGCCACACCAGTCCGATCTGAGTTGCCTGGACCGGAGTCAGACCTGTGCCATCGGGAAACTGTGACTGTGAAACACCTGCCAGCAACCCCGTTCGGGGAAAAGCAGCAAGAACTCGGAGGTCATCTTGAAAATCTCCAACCGTTCTGGTAAAACAAGCCCAATGATCATCGCCAACCCCAAAATGGGTGCGCACTGCCCGTACCGTCTGGAACTGTGCCAACTCACTCCAACGGCCAAACAGGGACATGGCAACTCGCGCTCCCAAGATTAACAGGGCTGAAATCCCACAGCGATGGTCATTTGGGCCCATCACTGCAGTGTCCCACCCTCCTCCCATTCAAACTGCATTCCTATTGTTCTGCATTTCATGCTGAAATGCTACGTAAAACTGTAGGTCTATCGTGTCGTGGAAGTGGATTGGGCGGATATGCGACGGGTTTAGAGGAGATGTCCTGTTCTTAGCGATTGTTCACACGGTTACAGGGTTTTATTGAGGTTTAACCATGCCAACGCTTCCTTTCGCACATCTGTACCTTTGACACCCCTTGCATATCTGATACAGTGTGTTCAACCCATCCAAACCATAGAATTATTAGAATTCGGGAAGCGAAACAGCCAAACACCTACATAGATCATCATAGATCTCGTTATTGGGTGTGGTGGATTGTTGCCTCTCCCTGCCTCCGTCTCTGTCTCTGTCTTTGTCTCTGTCTCTGTCTGTCTGTCTCTCTCTCTCTCTCTCTCTCGCGCGAATTTGGGGTACCCACAAGAATATCAAAATAGCTGCTAAATGGATGTTTGTCCCATGTTTGTCCCACCAAGAATGTTACATGTGTATCATTGACATTGACCCGTCCCTTTATTTCAGTAGGGAACCCCAACTTCTTCTTGTTCCGGATTCATTTGCTTTCCTTTTGACCCGTTTTTTGTCAGTTGTACTTGGGAACTGGTGCAGCTTTCACAAGATTCAGTACCCCACCACGTTCGAGTGTCACAACAACCACTTCTTCCACAGCAGGTTTACTTCTTTCCGACCTTGAAGCCGCCAGTCGCCAGCACCTCACCCTGGTTATAGTCTACCTCAGAAACAACTCGTTCGCTTCTTCAACAGCCATGGGCGTAAAAAAATGGGCGACCTGACATCCACAGTGCCAACTCTTCATGTTCAGATCACCGAACTGGACAAACTGGCAATTTTTGAAGCAGTCCCCCCACTTCGGCCCATGGGCTACAAAAAGCAACCGCTGGGCCAACCTCCAAGCCGGCTTGCCATGCTGCAATGAGGATGGGGGAGTCGCAGGTCCTGCCCAAAAAAAACGTTTTTGGGCAATTTCTTGGCAGTTTGTTTAAGACTATCTTAGAAGGAAGAATGATGAAGAATGAATGATAGGCCGGGAGAGGCCATCAGATTTTGGGCTCTTGGATGTCTTGGGTCCCAGATTTGACAGCTGGGATCATGACCTGCACATGGAATGTGGTGCGATAAATCGCTTACTGGGAGCTGGGAGGGGCTTCCTGCTGAGCTATGCCAAAACTATGAGCTTTGGTCTGTCATGAAATCGTGCTGAAGTCTCTTTGCTGAGACCCTGTAAAAGTATGTAAAAGTCCAAATTCTCACCCTGATTTTTGTTGGTCCTCAGCTTTTATCGAGGACCGGAAGAGCTGCAATGCAGTGTCTTCCAGTGGCGCAGAGCCATGGCTGCACTCTCAAAATCTCCTGGCAAAGGTCGACCGCCTTTGTTAGAAACCTGGAGCCAAGAGCATGGCAACTCGACAAGTTCATTGGTGATCAAAGGGATATGCATGGAAGTATGGTTCAAGGGAAAATTTACAGAAAACCCTTTTTGCTGGTAAATTCAAGGCTTTGCTCCCTTCATCCAAGTCAAAAAGATCAAAAATTGAGGGAATGGCTATGTCAATGCATATCTGTCGTGCCCGGGATATGCCGTTTGCTGTTCTTGTCAATAAAGCCACGACAAAAAGCGCAAAAAACACCCTTGGAAGTGTGCCGAGCCTTCCTAGCAACGGACAGTTGGAACATGTTAGCGTATGTGGACTTGGTATGGGTCAAAACCCTAAACAAACCAGGAAAAAAAAACAATAGCTGGTATTTCTGATTCTTCATCCCCCAAATAGCTGGTTCCACTGGACCGCTATCCAGCGATTTGGGAGGTAAATTGGCTCCCGTGGTACAACAAGCCGCCAGCATAGCAGCATAAATTGCCATGAATCATAATCTTCTGATCCAAAGGATACCCTCTGGTAATTTAACATAGCTATGGAAAATCACAATTTTTAATGGGAAAATCCACTATAAATGGCCATGTTCAATAGCTATGTTAGTTTACCAGAGGATATGGTTTCAACGTGCTTTAACCTTCAAAACGCTGAAAAACGTCGGCACCCCGGCGAAGTGTTGCCACTTCAAACTTGGCAAGGAAATACCTGACGCTGGCGTCACGGATAGGCTCACGTGACCTACACCAATTTCTCAAGTTGCGGGGAATACAGCACTAAAACATTGAAATGACAATCGAATCTTAACAAAGGACAGCATGATTAACCATGGGTTCTCACTGTAATTTTGAGACATACACATCTGAACGTCCAGAAAGTGTTCCCACCTTGACCGCGGCAACTGCCCTGGCCTAAACCAGCCGTTAACAGCACCAAGAAGAAAGAAAGCTCTTGAAGCATGTCGCGGCCAAAGAAGATGTCATCCTACGCCAAGAATGTTGGAGCCCGGAACACATTGCGGGCGCTTACCATGGTTGGATCTTCCACCGACAAATCTATGAAAGAAATTCAAAATGGGATTCGGATACAATAAGGGATTGTCATCCCACGTAATGGAATAGTTCTGCAACCGCCACCACAAAAACAAAAAAAAAACTGCCCAAGGCTTGCATTTCTTGGACTGCCAGAAGACACTTAAAACCAAAATAGGTCTGGGTCAAAATTATCAACCCATTTTTTGTGGGTCCAAACAGATACCCAAATATTCATGACAAAAGAGCCGCACCCAACTCTGGCAAATTTCATCAGTAAAAATCAAATTCAAGTGTTCAATCATTATCAACCATCCCAACCACCTAACCATCCCCCCACCTGGATGAAATAACTGAAGATCCATCCAGAGATGATCACACCCACCTCACACGTGATGACTTAAAAAAAAACATGTCGTCTTTTCTGGTTTCGAAAAGATCAACCGATTCTCTCAAGCTACAAGAGAATTGAACTGCTATTTGCTACTTAGTTTCTGCTTTGGAAATGTCGATAACTTTCACCCATGCCCCTTTTTGGGTCGAAAACACCAACCCGGAGTGGCTCAGCGTGCTGGGATTTTTCGCTTTGGCGATACACTCCGATCACAAGCAAGAAATGGAGGGGGTAAGAATTTCCAGATGTTAAACCATGTATGTCCACAGACGCATGCGTAATGGTCCATTCTAAACTTGTTTGGTCGAAACCACATGTGTGTGGTTCAAAAATCAAATAATCAACATTGTTACATTTTCTTAAACAAATCATTCAAATAACGTTACCTCAAGCCATAATTCGGTTTTGCATCAAAGATTATCCTAGCAAAAGACCCCAAACAGTGTGGGGGGTGGGAGGATAATGTATGATAATGTATGATAATGTATGATAATGTATGATAATGTATGATAATGTATGATAGTGTACGATAATGATGATGATAATGATAATGATAAATGATAATAATGATGATGATGATGATGATGATGATGACGATGATGATGATGATGATGATGATGCGGAAGATGATCATGAGGATGATGATGTTGAGTATGATGACATGCAGGCGGATGATGTGGAGGATGATGATGTTGAGGAGGATGAGGATGAGGATGAGGATGGGGATGGGGATGAGGATGAGGATGAGATTGAAGATGATGATGATGATGATGATGATGATGATGATGATGAGGATGAGGATGATGATGATGACGATGATGATGATGATGATGCGGACGATGATCATGAGGATGATGATGTTGAGTATGATGACATGCAGGCGGATGATGTGGAGGATGATGATGTTGAGGAGGATGAGGATGAGGATGAGGATGGGGATGGGGATGAGGATGAGGATGAGATTGAAGATGATGATGATGATGATGATGAGGATGATGATGATGATGATGATGATTCGATGATGATGATGATGATGATGATGCTGAGGAGCGTGGGGATGAGGATGATAATGCGGAAGATGAGGTGGAGGAGGACAGGCTGCAAGATGATGATGTTGAGAAGGGAGAAGATCATGATGTTGAGAATGATGGTGTTGAGGAGGAGGAGGAGGAGGAGGAGCAGGAGGATGATGATGATGAAAAGGATTGATGTTGCGGAAGATGAGGTGGAGGAGGATGACGTTGCGGAAGGTGATTTGAAGGGGGAGGAAGATGATGATGTGGGTTTGATGATGTTGAGGAGGAGGACCGATCCTAAGACCTAGGGCCACACTTTGTGCGAGCCTGCACAGTGGAAGTGCACTTCAAGATGTCACAGGAGCCACATTATACACAAATTTACACACGAAAAATGCCGCGGCCCAGAACCTAGGACCACACTTTGTGCGAGCCTGCACAGTGGGAATGCACGTCAACCTTTCACAGAAGACTTTAAGACTTTATACGTAAATTTACAAGAAAAATGCCGCGGCCCAGGTTGGGCCCAGAACGCGGACATACACTTTGCGCGAGCCTGCGCAGTCTAAAGGCATGTCAAGATAATGAGCCCACAACGCAGACACCATTTTGTGCGAGCCTGCGCAGTCGAAACGCATGTCAAGATTTCACAAGAGCCAGCTTATGCAGAAATTTACAGGAAAAATGCCGCGCCCCAGAGTGAGCACCCTGATCAAGCACCGGCCTTTACATCCTTTACAGCTATCGGATCCGAACCCCTCTTTGTGTGGACACACTGTTTGGGGAAAATGTTAAAAAACACTGGATAGATCCACCCAGTTGTGATCCCCAGGTGCCCCGAACAGAGGCCGGGAGGCTTAAGCTAACAAAGAGCGTGCGAACCTCAAAAGTGTTCGGTTCGCATCCACTGTTGACCAAGTTCACTGATGAAAAAAAACAGCACCAAAAAATCAGAATGTAAAGTTTGGGGATGTCCTTCCTAAATGCGGCACAAAATTTTGCTGTGAAAATCACGGAAAAAAAATCCACCACTTTATCTTAACCCCAATGGATTGGTTGAAACAAAATT